GCCAGCTTTGCTGGCTGAGGAACTCTGGGAGTTGAAGTCCACAAGTCTTAAAGTGGCCAAGGTTGGAGACCACTGTCTTAGTGGACAACTAATTAAATATGAACCAGCCGTGTGCAGCGGCAGCCAAAAAAGTCAGTGCAATCCTAAATTGCATTGACAGAGGGATGCAGTCAAGATCAAGGGAGGTCCTAACACCACTCTATAAAGCCTTAGTAAGACCACACCTAGAGTACTGTGTCCAGTTTTGGTCACCACACTATAAAAAAGATGTGGAGACTTTAGAAAGAGTGCAGAGAAGAGCAACAAAGATGATGAGGGGACAGGAGGCTAAAACATACGATGAATGGTTGCAGGAACTGGGCATGGCTAGTCTAGGGAAGAGAAGGACCAGGGAAGACGTGATAGCAGACTTCCAAAATTTGAGGGGCTGCCACAGAGAGGAAGGGGGTCAACTTATTTTCCAAGGCACCTGAAGGCCAGACAAGGAATCATGGATGGAAACTGACCAAGGAAAGATTCAACCTGGAAATAAAGGAGAAATTTTCCTAACGGTGAGAGCAATCAATCCATGGGACAGAAGTTGCCTTCAGAAGTTATGGGAGCTTCGCCACTGGAGGCTTTCAAGAAGAGACTGGACTGCCATTTGTCAGAAATGGCATAGGGTCTGCCTGGGTGGAGGGTTGGACTAGATGGCCTCCAAGGTCCCTTCCAACTCTGTTGATCTCTATCTAAGCCCCTTTGGGGTTCTTCAGTATCATCTTAACAGAGCATCTCAGATAAAAGAGTAGAAAACCAGGAGCTTACTTGTTGGATGTTTTTGGAAAATATATGCTTACGTTAACATGGAATTCTTCAAGAGAAGATCTACATCCACAAATATTTGTTAGGCAATTTGGAGATTACTGTGTTGTTATTTTTTCCTTAAAAGAGCTAAAGAGGAACAATTCTACGATGTCTTGAAGATAGCTGAATTGAGCTGAATTTTGACACCATTGATGTCTCCCAGCTTTCATCTACCTCTGCCAAAAAATTTTTTGAAGCATCCACAGTTTTGATGTTTTCTCTTTATAGCCAAGGGACCAATTTTCCCCCCTCCAACGGAATCCCAAAGCAGATCAGATCAAATCAAATCTGATTACCTTGGAGTTTCAAACAGCCCAAACTCAAATCAAAGCGTGTCCTTCTTTCAATCTCAGAAATCAAATTAGTGCTGACTCAGGTTTTCTTAGCATCTCCTGGGTGGGAATTTCTTTTTAACAAGACCACAGTCGAAGAAAAAAGTACCATTCTTTTCCCCATAGGCTGCTTCTCCCAACCCCCTAAGAAAATCTTCTCTAAATTCAAATTATTTGTTTGAAAAATCCAGGAAGTAGCCAGGGGGGCGGGGGTGTGGAACCCAGATATACAAATTATTTGACTTTCCCTCTGAAATGGACAAACGGCTATTTCTAAAGTGAAAAATAATAATTTTGGCCAAAGATATCAGGAGAATGGATCTGGGCACAAGAGACTAATTTGTACGATTTCATTAATCTGTCCATTCCTGCCAGTGGTGGGATTCAGCCAGTTCGCACCTATTTGGGAGAACCGGTTGGTAACTTTCTAAGCAGTTCGGAGAACCGGTTATTGGAAGAAATCTTATTTTGTTTTACAGGGCCAATCCTGTAAGGAAGGCAGGAAGGATTTTGAGATTTTGAGATTTTGNAATCTTCGTCTGATCTCAAAGTTTGATACTGTTGAAGATTTTTGGGCGTAAGTAAAATTGTAAATCAGATTTGAAACTTGAGTGTTTTTTTCATCTCATCTGTTTGTTCTTGAGGATTATATATGAGAAAATATAGGGGGCTAAGTTGAATGTGAGGGAATATTCAAAGACAAAAGTGAACCGAATTTGAAATGTACATTTAAAACTCTTGTTCTGTAACCTTAAATTGGGTGAAACAGTGCATTATAGGGCAACAATTTTTGAACCAAAATACCAAATGGGCTAATTTACAGAATGCTTCCAAAATCTGGGACACATGACTCCCGTGTGATTGAAATTGGCAAATTTGTGATTGCTTCAATGCTTCTGTGCCACTGCCCAGGGCCACAGTAAACTGGTCATCCCCTAGCCTTCTGGAGGCTAAACAGACCAGCCTCTCCTTTGGCTGCTGAAGATCAGGTAGGTTGGTCCAGACCTAGCCTTCCAAAGACTGGCTAGACTGATCCCACCATTGGCTTCCGGAGGGCAGTCAGCCCTTCCTGGTCATGCTGCCAAAAAGTCAGAAGTTATTTCTTCTCCCACTACTTTTTTGCCCAATCATCTGTTTCTCTGTTTAGGTAAGGAACTATCTCTAAAATGATGATCCAATGGATCATGGATTATCTAATTTAGACTTAAGTTTGGGAAAGTTGAAGGAATTAAATATTGTTACCTGCTACAATTATAAAAAGAGGGCACCCAAGAAACTGCAAGTGATTGGCTCTGTGAAGTATTGGAAATTCTGTGAACTGTATTCTCAAGTATTGTGATGATGACTGTGTTGAATTAGTTTTTAAAGTAATAATTATATGACTTTAATCACTGTTTTTCTTTTAATAAAATTTGCTATTAAGAATTATTAAAATTTAACCCCAAAATTTAAGATAATATATGTGATTTTTGACATTTGCACATCTATAATCTTTAGTATTTGTGGTAATTCAGTTCATTGATTGTACTTATGTTTTTTTCCAAAATAGGTTATATAACCATATTCAGCTCTCTAGTAATTTAATGCCTGGTTGTGATTACTCACTTTTTAAGGTATGTGGAATAAACTTTTGAGTTTATTTCATCTTGTTAGGCTATTTTGGGTGTAATCTGCTAAGTAAAAGACTAAAGGTTATACAATTTAATAAAATATTGCATTGTAAAAATACCTTTTTCTATCTCTAGCAATGCATTGTGATGCTCCACTATCAACAACCCACAAATCATGGTTTACTGGTGCATTGCTAGACATAGTTAAGTCGACATTAGCATTTTTTCTAGCTCTTCCAGCATTCTGTTGTTTTGCCTTTTTACAGAACCTAGCTATATGTCCCTTA